CAATTTTATTATTGATTATTAATATAATTGAAAAGATGTCAGTATTTTGGTGTAATTTAATTTTAAATTCAAACCAACCTATTGCAAAACATTTTCCTTTAATTTAATATGTTGGCGATGACATATTAAGAGTATAGATAACAAGATAGAAAAACAACTCTCCGTTTCTACGGGAAAATGACTGTTAAACAAGTAATGTACAAAAAGCTGATACTAGCGCCAACTATAGTGACATATTGGGCCCTTTCTTCTTATTTGTTTCGTCCCTTTTCGGTTCACTTCGCGATGGTGTTGTTGACGTCGACATATAGAACTCGCAACCTTTTCGTGTCACTCAAACACTCCACACCGGCAACAATAATGCTCGAAAAGCAATTTTAGTCGGTGGAGTTTTTCCGTTTAATTGCGTGTATTGTTCAATTGGCGCTTGCAGTTAGGTAGATACCAATACAACTGACACCTTCGATATTTATCTAATTAACTGCACGGCAATTTGCCCAACTTAATTATGGAAAATTAACGTTTGTTTTGATATACTTTTATTTAAAGTAAATAGTATACACTAAAATAAATATATAACGTATAGAATTCGAGGCAAATATAAATATTTAAGTGAAAATGTTTATCGTTTTAGTAGCAGCAAAAAATCTCTTTCCGTTAATGTAACCCTACATATTAAGAAGTTCAAACACACACACTACAAAATCGGCATACCGTTTATTAGATTTGAGTGCATAAAGATAGGCTATGGCTCGCTTATGTTTTAATTCTTCTTGAAAACTATTTGACATCGGCCAACAGTCTTAAATAAAGCACGAAAAAACAACGCAAAAAATGGAAAATGCAACTAATTATTCACATCTTGATATTTACAATTTATTTTACATTCATGGTGAGTGCCACAAAGTTATACATCCCCATATGTCACCCATGCATGGAAATAATTTTGACTTTCATACACTTCTTAAGGTATCTTCAAATGTTCTTCATTGTAAAATTTGCAAATCGCTAGCTCACTTACTTAATATTAAGCTTTAATAAAGCGATGCTTTTCTGCAAAAAAGGCTTATAATTAGTAAAAGGATAGGGCACTCAACGTGAGACACCGAATCAATAAATTCACTTAAACCAACATTTTGCTAAGTGGCAATAGGATTGGGATGCGAAAAAAGTGTAAATCTGAAGTAACACAAGCTGCAAACGAGTGCGTTTGCAGCTTCAGTTACGATAAAATGGTGTGATGTCAATGAACCGGCATTAAATGTCTCCAAGTCACAAATTTTGCAATTTTGCGAAAAAAAAAATAAGAGTAACCAAGAAAGTCTTCTGGTTAGGACCGAGTAGATGTATATTGCAAAAGTACTAGTGTCTTACTGATAAAACTGGATCAAAAGCTAACTTGGAAAAAACACATAGGTTTCCCGAATTCTAAAATAAGTTAGAAATTTTCTAGATGGCTCCTGTGTCGGTTTTTTATAAATCAAACTTGCTAACGTTTCGCCATTTATCCTGTTCTTCTTCTTTAGAGCTTAACTAAAACTGAGTCGCATTCTACTCTGTAGCTGCTTATAAACATTGTTTCGGATGACTCATTCCCATATTGGTGAAAGGTAAAGACCTGAGTCGCAGTTAAGATTGTTTTGTTGCTTACAGATTTCTAAGGATTCTGGGATTTTCTTTGGTAGAAGACTTGATTATGTGCAAGAACTTCCCATTCTAAGATATTCGTACCAATTGAAAATGCAACCTCACATTGGGCCATTCTGTTTACAGAAAACCTTAATGTATTGTCACATCACTCTCCGGCCCAAAAATCATGGGTTATCAACTCCATCAGCATTAAAACACCTTATATCTGCTTTTCCATCTAAAAATTTCCACATTCGAGATACAAAATACACTTTACCACAACCTTCCAAAGACAATGAGTCCAAAAGAAACCCCACACTGGCCGCTGTTGTCCGTCATTACAATCAAAACTTCACTGACCACATATCAAAAGTTCTTAAGAAATATTAATTTTAAACCAGATTTACCACTTGTTCAAAAATCTCTCAACATCTTCGATCCATGGAAGACAAAATTCCGTTTGAGATACCGGGAAATTACAGCATTCCATGCATATGCGGCAACATTGGAGAGCCCTGACGCAAAATATCAACTAGGCTCAAAGAACATGTAAAACTCATGAGCAATTGCCGAACAGAATTATGAAACTAAAACTAAAATCCTTGCATGTAATCAATTCTTCTATCAAAGAAAAATTCGGGAATCCATAGAAATTTATAAAGACCCACACAATCCTAACCGCGACTCAGGTTTTTACCTTTCACCAATATGACACAACTGAGGCAGAAGGAAGATTTATAAATAGTATTACAGTACCCTGCGGAAGTTTCTTAAAAAAGAATAATAAGTTCAAATTGTTTTGTAATAAGAAATTTGAGAAATGCGGAATAGTTTATTGGGGCATGTCTAGTGAAATAGACACAGAAAAGAATAATACGCACCATGGTTATGCAATAATTGCTTTGTACCTTTGGGCAGAAGGTAAATAAAACCTAGTTCTACCCTTCCTACAGATTATCTGTAAGTAAGCGTAACGAATTATTGGCATTCAATGTTTTAATAAAATGGTGAGAACGGATAACACATTAAATGTGAACCTCGCGCTTTCTCAATTGAAAGTCAAAGTGAAAGAAATCCTTATTCAAAATTGCTATTACTCGCTGCAAGATTTTTTATCGGACGTTTGAGAAATAATTTAGGCAAAATTTATATTTTATATTAGTAGTTTTGTGCTGTAAACTATACCATTTATATTTAGTACTCCTGAATGTGCCATTGGAAGTGGCAAAATAAATTCCATTCTATTCTACTACTTATATCTATCTATATTTGAGTTATAACAATAACAGGAATAACATTTATTTAAACCTTCTTTTCAGGTGTTTCTAAAGAGATAAAGTACTTTGTTTTTGTAGTGGGTCGTAGATTCAGAACTAAGATCAAAATTGCAGTGGAATAAACCTAATTTACATATTACTACTACCTTTAGACGATAAAAATCCGATAACAAGAATTTTGGATTTGGGATAAACTAAGAAATAAGTAAAATATGTTTGTAAAACAATCAATGTTGTTGTTTTTATTGAAAATGAAATATATTTATCTTCAGGTTATCAAGAGAACCTGCAAAATGATTCCTTTCAACATTTTCATGAATAAATTAAAATTGTTTGCTGTTGGTATTGAAGATGAAATATAATTAAATGCATTTTTCTGTTCATATATTTTATTTAACTATGAGAACCTGCTAGTTTGCGATATATTTCCTTTCAGGATTATCATAAACGCAAGTTTCTAACCGCAACCAGTGTTCACCATATTAGAATTTTAGCATATTAATGGCAGAAAGTTCGGTCTATATGAACAAACAAATTCCTTTATTTACACAATGCATTTTATATCAAATTTACTAAACCTAAATGAAATTTTATAATTTTAGTAGATATTAACGGGTATAACGGTATATAGGTCCCACTAAGCCGCATTTCCTCTAATTATACACTTTTAATAAATATGAATGCATTCAAATTACTGTACGGACATATTACGTCCGAATACCAAAGTTTTTAAGTACAGTTTGGGGGTTTGTCCGGCCTCTTAAATTTTTATGTTCAGTTTTATGAGCTAAGCTATGGGTGATACACAATTTTTGTTTTTATTTTTTTCCTTATTTATTGTATCTAACGAGGCATTTAGAAACTTGTACAATTATTTTGAGAAACCCGCTAATGATAAATGCTGTAAATATTGCTATTGCTTTAAAAATTCTAAATTTAGGCACTATGCTATTTTTTTAATAAACGAAAAATATTTCATACACAAAAACCAATCAAAATTGAATTACTATAAAATTATTTTAAAAAATATACTTTGGTTCGATATTACCATTTTATTTCAAATACAACTGGCTGAAAAACGAACCCATTTCAGAGAATTAAAATTATTTTATTTGTATTCTGCATAATGGCATATGGCAAATTTTTTATTGAACAACCAACAGTAAAAAATTATTTGCAAACATTGTCAATCAGGACAACCACCTAAAATTAATTCGTTTTGCAAAATTGAATCGTCCATTTTTTTTATGACGAACGTTTCCGGGTCCCTGGCTCGTTAATTCTCCTTATCAAATGATTATAGTGGATTAGGTATATCTGCTATAGTTTTATTCGGTATCACGCATGAAACTCAAAGGCCTCCAAATCTGGGGTTCTTACTGATCATATCTAATATATACAACTATTTAGTAAAAATATCAAAAAGTCTTGTTACCCCGAAAATAGTGATACGTTCCGTGAGATTATATATGGTGATATATTGCCAGTGATCTGGTGAAATATTCTAAAATTTGATACTCTAGGTATATTATACATACTTGAGGAGATGTTCTTCAACAATATAAAATATCTATTCTGTTTTAATATTCCTTAGGATTCTATTAAAATGAATTAAACACTAAAAACTTGTCGAAACCCTTAATAAATAATTAGCACAGAATAAGAAGGAAAAAGAACTACTTACTCTACCCTTAACTTAGTTCTTAGTTCTATACATCGTTAATTGTTAATTTAGAAGTTTTCTGGACTAAAGCTAAAAGCAAAACGCACACAAAACGTTCTATTTATTTTAAGGTAATAGATGGTTAATTATTAATCCCACCGCATTTCAAAGATAAAAAGGTATTGCTTACTAAAAATCATATCATATAGAATTTATTATCCCTAAAAACAGCGAATAAAAAAATAATTTTATCAAAAATGATAATAAAGAGAATTTCTTAATCAAATAAATTGTCCTAGACGTTCTCTACATTGTTAAAACAGCTGTCACCTTGTGTTAATTACAACTTTAATCACAAACTGACAGAACACGTAAAATATAGCGATCAAATAAATTACGAATTGCATGCATATCATGTAAAATTATCTTACCTTTTGTGACCTTTTAGCGCCGAAACTACCCCGTGATTTCTACACCGTGCACATTTCGGGGTTCTTTGGTAACGTTCGGAGGCTCTAAGGAAAAATGCGGGCGGTATATTTCCCAAGACGGGATGCTGAGACATCAACGCCGTCATATCAACGCCGCTGCTTGAAATGCTCATCGTTCCTACTTTTCTAGTTATCGTAGCGTTCCATCAATATATTTTTTTTAATTCACTAAATAATTTCCGTTATAGTAACAAGAATAAAATTTAAACCGAACCGAGGAAATAAGTTAAAGCTACTGAGAATATAGCAGTCAAAGATAACTAGGTATCCCATGATCGCTACAATGCAATAACTGTTGGCTGTCACCGCTCGGCAACATTAACCAATAACAGAACGCTTTCGAAGCGGAACGCCTACATTTTGATCGTGACCACTCCTACCAAGGCGAAGTCTGATATTTACTAGGTATATTTACTGTATTATGTGCGGTTATACAATGGGTAAGTGAATAGGAATACAAACTAGTTTTCAATGGAAATATAAAGGCTATTGTATTGGACTCTTAAGAAAGACCAGAACGCGCAGTCGATATATTATAGAATTTTCGCTGAGGGGTTTTATTATTATGCTGCAGCTTAATTGTATGGCGAAACTATAATATAGGTAGGTGGGGGATAAAAGATGTATAATTTAAACAATAATGTTCGTGGCGGGCACCCACTAGAATTATAAATATTTGACTATTCATTATCGAGCGTTTATTAAAACGCTTTCAACAGATTTCGCTCGGTATGGTTGGGCGAAATTCCGTAGTTTTGGGAACAGTTAATTAATTTACGTATTTAATTGAATTTTATTTTCTTATTAAAAGATTTAAACGTGAAAAGTTTTAAACGGGTAACGTAAAATCGAAACGTATATAAAATATTATGTTATAACTATTTACTACGTAAATTGGAGTTACACTTTTAATTTAAACCTGAATTTCTGCAAAACTGCAGTAGAGAATTTCACAAACATCATAACATCACAAAAATTTTAAATGCACTTTTATTATGATAAAAATATGTCTAATAAAATGTAATTTTTCATTCACAATTACAATTTTAGATATATATTGAAGAGAAGTACAATTGAAGAGAAAGACTTCAGCTGAACAAATTAAATAAAAAAAAATAAAAACGAAGTTCCTCCATAAGAGTGCGGCAAAAAATATTTTATTACGATGGTTGGATAGTCATGAAAATAGTGGAATCTGTATTTCCAAATATTTAAAAAAAACGCATTAGGTAATAAAATACATTAATGCATGGGCCAACTCATCTATAGTACTTCTGCGGGCGATTTGGTCTATCAAGTAGCCATTTTATAAACATACATTTTTTCTATTCTGAAATACTTAATTATGCACGGGTCCAGCGTACGCAAAGGGTCACTTTATAACGGGAGTTATACACTGTCACGAGCGACCGGTACTTTGGTCACGGTTTTGGGAACGACCTGATTTTTTCGGTAGATCTTAGCTACTGTGTCACGTAACAGGTCAATTAATGTATTCGTGCTAATAGTCGTAGAAAAGGAATGCAACACGTTGATTAAACTATTCAGTCTCTCGCTTATTAAACATTCGTTCCGACCGTTGACTAAAAGAGCTGTTTTTATTTATAATTTTAAATTATTAGGTTTCTGAAGACCTTTAATAGCTAATTTTTAAAAATTAAATTGAGGGAGCTCGGGCGGTTGTAACACTGTAATGAGAATGGTTTAAAGAAACATAATAAAATAAATCATACGGATGATTGTCTTCAAATTTCATGAGTTTAAATTTCTGAAATCTTCTCAACTATCAGATAAGTTGATCTAACACAAGTTAAACTTCTATAATTTTATTGCCCCTGTGGACCCTTTTGGGCATTAGATAGATTATGTTGTTATTATTATTATTATTATTATTTTAATTCTCATCGGAAGATGGAGTCATCTCATGTCGGCTAAATGTCGGCAAAACATAAAATTTGCACTATTGAAGTTGAGGTTGATTAAGAACTCTTCTAATTATTTTGCAGGTAGCTAGTACCGCAGACTTCTTCAATTCAAAGCAGGCGCTTGGTTTCACGGTGAGTGTTGCCAAGTTGGTTCTGAGGGACTTTGGTATTTCTCCCATTGCACCGATCACTACAGGAACAATGTTCTGTATCGACACGCTATGTCTGTTTTATGTCATCCGCTAACGGTATGTATTTTTCTTCTCACGTTCTTTCTTTTACGGGTTGTTAGGTGCGGGAATTGCAACGTCGACGAGGGTCACCACTCTATTTGCCTTGTTATAAAATCATCCGGCCTGTTATGCTGTACAGTGCTATAGGTCTGAACAGTTCTTTCCCAATTCGTCCTAAATCCCTCACTTCCAAGCACGGATTCTGGTGAGTATCGGTAATATGGACACTTCTCTTTTAGAAGTTTTTATTATTATTATTATTATGAGAGTCGTTGTTGCAGTCCGGTTTAGATGCGGTTAGCTATGCCAATTTGCCTAATAAATTCAAGCGTTTTTGCCGTTTCAGTTTGGTTTCCAGATAGACATCTTTCTTAAGTTATTCGGCATTTTCAGTTTTAGGCGGAGGCTTAAGTAGTGAGGGCATTCGGTCATAATATGTTTCACTGTTAACCTAATTCCAGGACAGTAATCACAGGTTGGGGGTGGAGTTCCTCGCAGGAGATACATTGAATTAATATTTGTATGGCCGATTTTTAGTCTTGTCATTATAGAATGTTCCCTCCTCGTCAGGAATTTTGGTTGTCGTCTTGTAGTAACATTTGGGAGTATTTCTTTTAACTTTGCTTCACTTTGATTTGATTATTATTATTATTATTATTATTATTATTATTATTATTACTATTATTATGTTGCAATAACGCCAGACCTTACTCGGGCCTGTGTGGATCGATTCAGTTTTTTGGTAATTGCGATCCAGCATGTGATCAATATTTCAGATCAACATTGATTGATTGATTGAAGAGAAGAGGGAAATTATCCTACAAAGAGTAAAAAATGGATGCATAAAATTTTGTTATGTTATTCCTATTTACCTTATATAGGATATCTTGTTATAATTTAGAATCCGATCAACAAGGTTGAAGGTAAAAAAATTGTAAATGTATCATGAATCGCCAGAATTTGGTGTAAAATTAATAAAGAAACATGGGTTTCTACACAGAGAGAAATTTTTCCTGAGCTGAATTAAATCATTTTAATAACAAAAGTTACTAAAAATTAATTACAATATTAAATTACGTTCACAGTTCACAACTTTTGTTGCGACAAAATTGATTATATTGAACTCAATAATCCACAATTTTGTAACTTACTGCACCTTGTAACTTCTTACTGCACCAATCAAGTTTTGCTGAAATTTTCTACAGTCTGAATTAAAAAATTCTTAACATCAAATACGGTATTAACTGGAATACAAAAATTATTGCTTGAAATAAAGCGAATGTGTTAAATTAATGGTATGTTACCATATTTCCTTAAATTAAAATATATTTGCTGCAAGTAAATATCTAATTCCCGGAACGAATTATTATCTGCATGCTGAGTTGAACATTTTGTCCCGGTGCTTCAAGGTATTTAGAAATTAAATTAATTAATATGTAATAGATCTCTCAAACCTAAAGAGTGTGCTATAGATAGAAGTGCAAAAAGAGAGAAAGTAACAAAATATGGCATAAGGTTACAACCCTTTACAGTGTAGAATCTCCCACAATCACTACATTGCTCTTGCTCTTGCAACTTAATATCTCTGGATATTGTAGGTTTTAGAGCATCATGCAGCACAACTTTTTATAAAGAATATTTTTTATAATAAGCAATACAAAAGTTGCCCAAATTTTACTTTTGTTACTTCGACGAAAACTGTTCTCAAATCAAATAAACAATATTTGTACCTAATATACCCCTTTTCTTGAAATAAATAAAAAATAAAATAAAATAGTGTAAGACTTATCCTGGCAAATAGATTTTTTTTGCATCAAATATATTTTAGTTGAGATACGAATTAAATTATTTAAATAGAGCAAAAGTGCTTAGAGTACATAAGTTTCACAAATATTCTTTATTCTTTAGTAATTAGAATGGTGTTATCAATATCCAAATCTCATTAAAGTGACGCGTATCTTTATAGATAACACGAGTTATTAATCCGGCATATATTGGCAAATAAATGCTAAATTTAAACCTAAGTCATTTTATAATGTAATGGATATTGGAAAATTCGTGAATTGATGTGATTTTTTTATTAAAAAAGATACAAGCAGCTTCCTTTTGTTAAAACAATGGCATGGTAAATAACCCATTAGAATAGTATTTTCCATTTAAATTGAATTTTATTCCATCGAAAACATAAATCCTACTTCTCCAATATAAACACAAATGTCAATATCTAGAACGTTATGATATGATGAAAATATGATATGATCTAGAAAATTATGAAAGGAATTGCAAAAATCATAATTCTACATCGAAAAGCAAACAGCAAACTCTTTGCAATTTCCATATTGTTTGCAAAAACTTAAATATTGAAAGAAGTGTTAATCCATGGTATATGTTTAAAAAAATATATTTGGAATTAATCGTATATATAGGAGCTCCACAAGAAAAACAACGTAGTTATGGGACATCCCCTACCTGAACATAAGATTTAGTTTCTTATATAAAAAGTTTCCAATTTAATGTTTTCTATCGCTATGCGTTTCGAAGATATCAACCGTAGGCTCATTATTATAATAGGTTAACCACTCTATTAACTTTATGATGAAATAAATAAATAATAAAAATCAAAATTAAGACAGCTCCCGTAGCTTCATTTGACCTTAGAGTCGCTGTTAGTTTCCAAAATTTGTTAAAGTAATTCTACTCTACTCGAATATCATTTTTCTAATTTGGAAAACAAGATAAAAATCATAAGAAATTGAACTTGTTGATATTACTCCAATAAATCGTTATCCAAATTTTTGTTCCACCCGGTACTTATTTTCCTCAAAATGAAAACTCTATCTAACGTCTTAGTCTTATTGGTTGAAGTTCTGTATCAACATTTTGTTAATAATGTTGGCTTCAAAAGTGACTGTTTTATCAGCATGCGTCAAAGACATCTCAATGACCCGTGGTCTC